TTCATGTATGCATTGAGTATAATCTACATATATGTACATGTTAAGTAATATCTAATAATCTATTAAACTAGCTTTCCTACCAATAATGCTAGATATACAACAAATATACAAGAAATAGTAATTTCCCTGGATGATTCCTGCTAGTTTGCTTGTTTCACAGGGAGCACCTCTTCATCCTATTTTACATGTATGTTATATACATCTCCACTTTATCCAAGAGTTTTGATTTATTTTCTTCACTTCTGCATTTCCAGTGTCTGGAACACTGTCTGAGTACAGTACAAGCTCAGCAAATATTTTTGAGCAAATGAATTACCAGTAATTCCCCAGCAAATGAATTACTTGTGCTGGGGAATCTTAGAGTTAGAAGAATTCTAGAAACTAGGGTGATGTGGCAAAACCAAGGAAGTGTGTCCCTGGGCTTTGGGGTCAGCCTGAGGTCTTGGCTCTCCTGCCTCGCTTGTCGGCTTTGTGCTCAACTCCACCACACCAGCATCTTCTCTCGCCAGGTACCTATGACTCCTGATGACTCTTGTTCTTTCAATCCACTAAAGTTCTCCACGAACATGAAACCCAATCCTGTCCAGGTAAGTCAGAGGGAAATAAGTAACAACTCATTCATCTTGTGGGATGTATGTGTTCAAAGGGTTTCCAGAGCCTCCAGCTAGACAAGCAAAATGGTGACCTCCATCAACACCGTTGGTTATGAGGGGGTGAAGGTTACGGCACCTTCTCATCTCCACCCCATCCCACCAGGATACTCCTCAGTGCATACAGCTTCTAGGGTGGTGGCCTTGCTTGCATCTGTGACCAAAATCAGTTCACTGTATCAGGTTCACATTCCCCAAAGGTTTAAGTGACCTTCCTCAGCCACATCTGACTTTACTAACTCAAAATATTGTTTAGTCAAAACTCTTCATTCCAGGAACCTGGGCAAGAAGTGTTTAACTTTTCTCCTAAAAGAGAACTTCCCTGTCTGCCCATGTGCAGTCTGCTCTGATTCTTTGATAGCAGACACTTTTTTCAGTTTCCCCTTCACCTGTCTCCAACAAGAATGCAAAGGAGAAGACCCAGATAATAGGCACTGGAATGGGGAGGTCACAGAGTGATGCCAAGCTTAGAAGAGCATAGTCTTCACACCATTGGGTCTACAAGAAGGACACAGCTGCTGGGAGGAGACAAGGGACAGTTGGTCTCAGGAAGGTACACACAGCAGCACAGGAGACCTTCCATTCTTAAATGTTTCCTCTGTGCTTCCCAAAAGGGTCTCCTTGAGGTTCCTAGATCCTTAAAAGCCCCTTTAACAGGTGCACACATCGTTATGTTACTCCATTCTGAACTACTGCCTGTGTCTCTGGACAGCAAGAGTAAAGTGAACATACGTGAACCAGGATGCATCTCCATTTTACGACAGGCACGAGCAAGCACCAGAAGGTCTTGCAAAGCCTGCTGTTTTCAGGCTAATTCTTAGAACCATCTCCAATCTGACACATCTGTAGGCTGCTGCACTCATGGACAGCAGGTTGAGCAGACCTGCCTGGCCACCATGGGACCTGCTCACCATGAGCTCCAATTCCTGAAGATTGTAGATTGTTTTCTATCAGAAGCTGGTAACCAAGGACAGGGTCCTTTAACTTTCAAAGCTGGCAGTGTGACATCTGTGTGAGGCATTTAGAGAACACCTGCAACATGCTTCAGAGTCCAATGTGTATAAACATGTTCATTATATTTACACTTTGGAAGCAACTCCTCATCCTCAACCAATGTCTGCCTGCCTGGTCTCATCTCTCTCTCTCTCTCTCTCTCTCTCTCTCTCTCTCTCTCTCCCT